AAACAAACGCACACAGGTATACACGCTCCCCTACACACATGCATACACAGTACCCTTCTCGATCTGTCCTTATCACTCTTTCTAAACTTCAACTTTCTACACTTTGCGTATTACCTCCCCTCCCTTTCACCCCCTCCCACACACATTTTCACCCCCCCCCCCTCTCCCACTGCCCCAGTATTAGTACATATGACTGGTACTTGCTCTTTCGTGTAGCACTAACTATACGCACCATACTACACTATACACACGGACTATACACTCGTACGGCGCTTGTCGTAAAGAACATTCATTCATTATTTTCTAATGTAGGGCGTACGTTCTGCATCTCGCTCATTTCACACTCAATGGGAAAAGTCGATTTTGTATAACGGTGATTTCTCATCCGTATAGTCACACCTGTACGTGCACATACACAGGCGCTCTCATATATTTTCCATACATTCCATTGATGTAAATATAGAATGGCATTCTGCATCTGCGTCAAATCCCGAAGTGTTTTGTGAATGTCGCTTTAAACGATTTAATTGCCTGACATTTCTGTATCTTGTCATCGCTCGCTCTACTTTTTTACTCTCTCTCTCTCTCTCTCTCTCTCTCTCTCTCTCTCTCTCTCTCTCTCTCTCTCTCTCTCTCTCTCTCTCTCTCTCTCTCTCTCTCTCTCTCTCTCTCTCTCTCTCTCTCTCCCTCCCTCCTTCCCTTTCCTTTCCCTTTCCCTCTCCTTCTCCCCCTCACTCTCCCTCTCCCTCTCTCCCCCTCACTCCCCCTCTCCCTCTCCCTCTCCCCCTCCTCTCCCCTCTCCCCTCTCCCTCTCCCCCTCACTCCCCCTCACTCTCCCTCTCCCTCTCCCTCTTTCTCCCTCTCGAAACCCTGAAAAGTGGTAAAGAAAAACACGAAAAACAAGAAATCGGAAAAAGAAAAGACTCGAAAAGCCAAGAAAACCGAAAAAGGAAAACTCTAAACAGGCGCAGAAAAGATGTAAAGAAAAATAGACCCAACTCGAAAAACAAAAACAAAACCAAAAAAAAGTAAAAAAAGAAAACAAAGATAATCAAATCTTTGCCGATCTTAGTTCTCTGTATAAACAAACAAACAAAAAAGGGTTACGTAATCTGACAAAAAAAAGTGTCCATGGGTCTGCTGACAAGGGCGCTGTTGGCTGTCTTAAAGGGAGTCAAACGACACGACTTCGCTGGTTCTAACAACCTCTTGGCACTGAACGACTTCATTGCGGGTTTGTTCTTTGATTTGTTATCGTTGCATTTGCTTTGTTATATCTATTTTATTATTATTATCATCGCCATAATCATTACAGTTATTATTAGTGTCGGTATCATAGTCATTATTATTACTGTCGGTATCACTGTCATTATTATCATTATTATTGAATTTTGTCCGTTGTACACATATTATTCAAAATAGTGAATTAATTATTATAACTTTTTTTCAATTTTGTCATAACCTTTTTTGTTTATTATATTTGACGATTCTGATTTTCAGTATCATCCTTATTTTCAATAATATATATTTTTCAATATTATGATTATTTTCAATATTATATTTATGATCCCATTATTGTTATCATTATTGTTACTATCTTTATTATTATTATTATAATTATCATTATTGTTGTTTTTATTATTTCAGTTAATATTATTTCTATTATCATTAATGTTGTAGTTATCGTTATTATAATCATCGTTATTATTATTTTTATTATAATTATCATTATCATTATTACCATCATCATCATTATTATTACTATTATCATGATTATGATTATATTATTACTATATATCATTATTACTATTATCATTATTACTAGTATCATTACCATATCAGTATTATGATCATAGTTACCATTAATTTTATTCATATTTATACAAATGTTGCTAATATTATATTCTAGTCGGATGTGCTAAGTAGAAAGGAGATTCCAACACCACAGTAACTAGCTATCATCTCTCTCTCTCTCTCTCTCTCTCTCTCTCTCTCTCTCTCTCTCTCTCTCTCTCTCTCTCTCTCTCTCTCTCTCTCTCTCTCTCTCTCTCTCTCTCTCTCTCTCTCTCTCTCTCTCTCTCTCTCCCTCTCTCTCTCTCTCTCTCTCTCTCTCTCTCCTCTCTCTCTCTCTCTCTCTCTCTCTCTCTCTCTCTCTCTCTCTCTCTCTCTCTCTCTCTCTCTCTCCTCTCTCTCTCTCTCTCTCTCTCTCTCTCTCTCTCTCTCTCTCTCTCTCTCTCTCTCTCTCTCTCTCTCTCTCTCTCTCTCTCTCTCTCTCTCTCTCTCTCTCTCCCTCTCCCTCTCTCTCTCCCTCTCCCTCTCTCTCTCTCTCTCTCTCTCTCTCTCTCTCTCTCTCTCTCTCTCTCTCTCCTCTCTCTCTCTCTCTCTCTCTCTCTCTCCCTCTTCTCTCTCTCTCTCTCTCTCTCTCTCTCTCTCTCTCTCTTCTCTTTCTCTCCTTCCTCCCTCCCTCCCTCTCTCTCTCTCTCTCTCTCTCTCTCTCTCCTCTCTCTCTCTCTCTCTCTCTCTCTCTCTCTCTCTCCCTCCCTCCCTCTCTCTCTCTCTCTCTCTCTCTCTCTCTCTCTCTCTCTCTCTCTCTCTCTCTCTCTCTCTCTCTCTCTCTCTCTCTCTCTCTCTCTCTCTCTGTCTCTCTCTCTCTCTCTCTCTCTCTCTCTCTCTCTCTCTCTCTCTCTCTCTCCCTCCCTCCCTCCCTCTCTCTCAGTACCGTCTGGGCTTTGTTTGTGATCGGACGTCGTTCGGCTTTATCTTTGTTTAGTTTGAAAATCCGGAACATTTACAAGACAAACAATACACATCCTGTACATCACTCCACGCACGGAGAGGACGGAGGAGAAGAAAGGCCAAAGAAGGGCCTTTTGTGAGAGTGAAGAGAACGACGAAGGAATTCCCGGAAAAATAGCCAGAAAAGGTAAACAAACCGGCGACGGAGCAGACAGCTTGGCGGCGTCGAGGTCGGCGCCGGAGGGATCAACGAGGCACAAGCGGCAGCCGTGGGTGATGGCGAGGAGGAAGATGGGTCCATGTAAGTAGTTAGTAGAAAGGAGAGAAGGAGGATTGAGTGAGATTGTCCGAGAGCAGCGACAGTGACGTAGAATCTACCCGAGATGACGAGGCTGCCAGGCGGTCGAGGTGAGGTAGGCCTACATCGGCAGTCATAGCCTTGCGCTGGGAAAGAAAAGCCTTTGTAGAAAATTGTATCATTGAAATCCCGCAAAAGATAGTAAGTTAAGGAGTGTCACAAGTTGAACGTGGAAACGATAAAAGACAAAGTAGCTATAGATAATCTTTTAGACACGTGAAACAAGGAAGGCAAAAGAAAGAACTAAAACGGAAGAACTAAAATTCTTGAAGGGAATAGTGGAAAAATTGTCTGAAAAAAAATCAAGCTCTAGGAATAATTGTAAATTCAGACATGCTAAAAAGTGTGGATTCCGAAAGTAACCTAATGGTAGAAACGCAAATTTTGAATGACAATGACAATCAGTGTTCTGATGACAATGTAAATCAAAGTAAAGTGTTTATAAATTATCTGAATTGTGCTAATAAGAAGGAAGTGGTGGAAGGAGTAGTGAGAGCGAAAAACGTCACAGTGGCTCAATGAACAAAAATGTTACTTTGGGTTGAGAAGGACGATACAGAGATCGTCAAAGAAGAAA